AGCGATTGGAGCATCCCCAGGCAGCACAGCAAACCATGGTGGCGACTAGGAGGCAGCACAGCAAACCAGGACCACACGGAGGAAAAGGCACAGACAAACTGCATGATATGCTATTCAATGTTTATTGAATTCCATGTATTTGCAATGGATGTTCCTAAAACAACACATTTAACATCATCATCATCATCATCATCATGCTGCTGCTGCTAGTCCTTTGATAGTCACCTGTCGGTCTCCTGTCCTTTCTGAAAGCCATAAAGATGACATTAGTCATTTAGATAACTTGTGTCCTCAATTACCATGGGATTACTGAAACTACCATGAATTTAAGAAAATGGTAGACATTAATCTAATCTGAATTTTAAAGCATTACTTTAGATCCCCTCCCTCTAAATATATCAATAAACATTAGAAAGTGATGCTCCTGACTACCATACAAGTTTAAGAAGATAATATTGGTTTTTAAAGAATTCAAAGCTATAAATAAACAGCAACAGGCTCTTTAACCAAGGCACTGTTAGCCTACCATGTAAACTAGTTGTTCACACTAATCCTAATATTATCACTTAATATTAGCAAATTCTATTTTATTTTTTAAAACATATTGATGTAAATACATACACATATCGATTTGTTGTATAAATATTGCAAATCAAAACCTTTATTCACTAATAATTACCAAAAATCGTAGTTTTATCTCCTGTTATCAGTGCATTCACATTGCCCGCCATGAACTTCCGGGGAACGATCCTCTTCTACATGAACCACGTGACGATAACCGTTTTTGGACTTCCGTTGTCGTAACTCTTCTATTATATGGCTCTGGTTTGTTGTTGTCTGAAGTCATGAACGTTAGTTGGTGCTCCAGTATAATCGGTACGCCTGAAACTCATCTAGTGAGAAACGTTCCGCGGTGCAAAAATAAGTGCGATTAAAATGCGTTAATTTTTTTAACGCGTTAATTTTTGTGTAATTAATTAATCTTAATTAACGCGTTAAAGTCCCGGCCCTAATAATAATAGAAAACATATATAGAGAATATAGAGAATTCTGATAAATAATTCGAAGTTATAATATGCATTTAATTGTTTACAGCTTTCCTATTGCATACATGGCCCTGGACATTTTAAATTAAAAAAAGTCCCAGAAATGATCTCACAAATGTACATGTAACCTATCTGGTGTAACTACTATTGCTAAAAGACATTTATTACTAAGAGAATTAAGAAATGCAAAACAAACTTTAAACTCAATATTTACTAACCTCCCACATTTGTTCCTATATAAACATAAAATAAACAGGTTTTCCATCAAGGGAGCAACTTGTAGGAGACATACATTACATATGCTGCATATACACAAATACACACTCACCAAACAACAGGCTGTTTCTCGGAATGTTTTGATGGCTATAACAAATCTGTGTTGTATCACAATATTCAGCACAGACTGTATGCTTGGCTCCTGAGCAGAGCAAAGAACCCCATAGTTAACATAAATATTTATGTTTTATTAACCTTGCTCGGGTCAAAATGGTCCAAAATGCCAAGAGAGTTCTTCGTTGTGGGCCGCAGTTTAATCTAGTCCATCAGTTTTCTGTGGGATTCAGCATTCATGAAAGTCTTATTTAAGCTGACTCCTGTATATACAGAGTAAACATCATGAAATCCTCAGTGTACGCTAACAGAGTGAGGGGGCCTTGCATGTCTCAAAATGGATCACCGAGTGTAAACAGTGTGAGGCAGGCCTGGCTAACAGTTACCTCCGCTAAGGAGGCACTGTCACGCAGAAGTGGCCAGACTCGGCCCAGTCCGCCTAAATCACAACACAATTAGATTTTGTCAGAGGAAGTGACGCTCAGCAGTTCTTGTTACAAGGTACAGGTTTATATGAACCAAAGTTTCCAAAACCATTTCCATGGATTGGCTTGATAAGATCCTTTTCGGAATGTCAGGAAAATCCTTAAGACCACATTAATCGATATCTCTTTGGTAATTATTACTTACTGTAGGTCAGATACTGAATTTACTCAAAAACATACGTACAACATAGGTTTAAACTTGCCATGGCTCTAGTTAAAACATGTTGTCTATGGATAAAACATGTAGCTGATCTAAGAACTTTTATAACTAACACTGACAACCCCTTTCAAGCTATTTTCTTGAGAAAGAGCAGCCCCATTCAGGTTCTCTGTCCATTAGCAGGTCTGTTCTCTCACTCTGTTTTCCCAGGTTTGTGTGTGCTTTAAAAACAAATAAAAAGTATCCAAAAGGTGCATACATGTATGGTCTTTTGGATATGATGAATACTATTTCATTTCTTTGCAAGCACCCGATCAAACAGACCAGGTGTTAACGAGTCTGGTTTGATTCTTACATGTCAACATTGTTGGCCTGTTTGAAATGAGCCACATGCAAAATGAGATTGAGTTCATTTTAGAGACCAAACATTTCTGCTACTGACATACAAACTAAAAGAGAGAACTACCCAATGTGTTCACTTTGATGGGCTGTCTTCTGAGTGGTTAAACATTACTAATGGTGTACCACAAGGTTCTCTTTTAGGTCCGCTATTATTCTCCATCTATATCAATAGTTTAGGTGAAAATGTCGATGGAGCAACCTTACATTTTTATGCAGACAATACCGTGATTTACTGTGCAGGTCCCTCCATTAAGGAGGCTGTTGTTAAATTGCAAGCTGTTTTTAACATTATTCAGACTCAGCTTGCTGAGCTTAAGCTTCTTTTAAATGTTGATAAAACCAAGGTAATGCTCTTTTCAAAAGCTAAAAAGACACCAGAGCCTGTTTTAGATATTGTAACTACGCAAGGAATACAACTTGAAGTGGTTACCTGTTACAAATACCTTGGTATCTGGCTTGATGATTGTCTCTCTTTTAAACTTCATGGCAATAACCTGCTTAAAAAGCTGAGGGTTAGGCTAGGTTTCTTTTACAGAAACAAGTCCTGTTTCTCGCTTGAGGCCAGGAAAAGGCTAGTCACTGTGACCTTTTTACCTGTGCTGGACTATGGTGATTTGATGTATATGAATGCACCTGCCCATTACCTGATCAAGTTAGATGCCGCCTATCACAGTGCACTGAGATTTGTTACTAACTGTAAAGCATTAACCCATCACTGTACCCTGTATGCAAGGGCAGGTTTGCTTTCACTTACTGTACGGAGGCTCAGTCACTGGTACATTTTTATATACAAAGCCATGTTAGGGAAACTTCCATCCTACATCTGCTCCCTGATCTCACGGCGAATTGTAAGTGGCTACTGCCTGAGATCGCATGCTGTGGTCTTATTAAATGTGCCAACTGCTAGGACTGTCTTAGGGAAGATAGCTTTTAGATGCGCAGCTCCTATGTCTTGGAACAGTCTGCAAAAGGAATGGAAGCTGAGCAATTTGGTTCCACTAAATGTTTTTAAAGCGAGGATAGATGCTATCCAATCGGAAACTGTTGGAACCTGTAAATGTTAATAGCTATGTAAACTGTAGTCGCTGTAAATATGCTGTATGATGTCCTTTTTGTTTTTCTGTTATGTTTATATGTATTCATGTGGAACCTACTTGCAGCAGGTCACCCTTGAAAAAGAGATCAATGATCTCAATGGGATTCACCTGCATAAATAAAGGTTTGAAATGAAATGAAATAAAAGCAAAAAGAACATTTCCCATAAATAAAACAAAATATAATTAAGGGTTGTGTTTTGGATCAGCCCTGAAACGTTGCCAGTGTTAATGACTCACCGTCATGCAACTTCAGTTCACTTTTTATCGAACCTAATTCAGGGCAGTATGAGTTTCCTCATACCATGCTTGTCTGGGGGAAACGGAACAAGCGTTTTATTCAAAGGGTACCCTCAATCTTTCATCTCCCATCATAATCAGATCCCAGTTGTCTCTGCATCAGCAGACACTGAGCCAGGTCTGGCCCAGGTCCAGTCTGTCAGGGCCAAAGCTAAATTCTGCAGGTTTAGCCCCATCCTGCCTTCATGTTTCCCATCAGCAGCTTCTCACTGCAAAAACCTGATACAGCTGCTCCCACATCTGGGGCCACAGTCGTACAGGTTATGTATGTGTGTGTAACAGTGAGTGAGAGTGCCAAGAGCGGTGACTTTAAAACTGCGGCACACTGTTAGACATTCATGTTGATTATTTATGTTATAACTTACTGGCAACAGTGTGTTCAATTGAAGAATATTAATCTACGATCAAAGACATGTTACAAAAGAGGTACTCGTCACAATAATTGTTGACAAATTAAGTCCAGTAATTTTATGTCATAATACTCACAATGGCTTGAAGATATAACAATATAGAATTGTGCACATGTGCTCATGCAAGCTATGGACGAAAACAATGAAGTCTGTTAGGTTTGTTTTCTGTATTTGATAGAGAGTGAGGAGGTTTCTTATTACGAAATGGTACCAAGAAATTAAAATGTGTTCAGTTTCAGAATCATTTGTTCTTAATTTCGGTGGTCCTCTGGTGTGCAATGGGATGGCTGCTGGGTGTATTTCAATATAAACTAATAACTATACAAATGTAGCCAAGCAACTTCATTTTGCAACCTGTCAGCAAAAGCTTGCAATTATATATCAAAGACTACGCTTGGTGTGAATGCTGAATATAGATTTATGGAGATTCAAGGTATCATCAAACCAAGACCAAAATGATACAGCAGGAGTACTAGTTTTTTTAAATAATGAATTGTATGTTATGATTATTATTCCTTAAATAAGTAGATATACTCTATATTTGCATTGCTCAGTGTTTATTTACATGATGGGACTGTTTATACAGAAGTATCCTTTAATGTATGCAAACTAGTGAGTTTACAAGCAAAGTGTATAGAAATGTATTTATTATAAATGGAACAAATACAACTACAAGGTATTTGTAAGTGTTTATTATCAATGTAAACTTTTTTTTAAGAAAAAATAATGTATAGGCACACTTTACATATTAAAATAAAAACAAAACTCTCCAAAAGAAATATGAACATCTCTACATCAACTATGAACACATTTAAAGGGACACATATATGTATATATATATGCAACATGTTGGGGCTCTGAACCTGCTCCTGTGTTACTTCCACCACGTAGGAAAGTACAGATGGAATCATTGATCTTATTCTAAGAGCACATCATGACCCATTTGTACTCACTATGTGGTTGCAGTCCAGAAAATGACAAGCTTATCTTGAAATAAGTTGATTAAAATATTATGAACTTTAAGTAAAATAAATGGGAAACATGGGTAATGAACCATTTTAAATCTTAAGGTATTTCCTTTTCTTCCAAATAAAACACAGTCTGTGACGATGACATTTAAAACTAGAAATGTTAAAGCAAAGCAAATTATTTAGACATATAAATTAGATGTATACTGTTTGTAAGTAAACATATCAATCTTAAATCACGTATTTGCATCACTCTTTCTTATGTACAATACATTACCTAATAGTTTGACAGTAAATCTGTACAAAATTATGTAAAATATATGTATATTTAGTACAAAAAACTCTAGCAGCACAAGAGGATTATAAAACGTTACATCAAAATGAAGATAGTGACATTACATCTGCACAAAACCCAGATTGTGTGTGGAGGCTGGATGGGAGCGGAACGTAACGACACACACGACACACAAAACAGCCTTTAGAAGAAGAATATTTTCCCTTTAAGCCCCTTGAAATGGCAGAGAAGGAACCACGCTTTCAGAGGCAAATAGACTGGACAGACACATCAGTAGCTTTATCAACACACACACACACACACACACACACACACACACCACACACACACACACACACACACACACACACACACACACACACACACACACACACACACACACACACACACACACCACACACACCACACACACACCACACACACACCTTGTATGTTCTTGACTTGTGTAATCTCAGAAACGCTGCGTTTGTTTCTCTTCATCGGTCAGTAGAAGATTAATTATGAAAAACAGAAGAAACCCTGGGCAGACAGAGATAACATCTCTAGGTTTTACAATCCAAGCAGAGAAATGATAGCTTAATAAGTTGCATTAAGGTGGACTTTTGTGATATTGCATAACTTCATACAAAGTCACACAAACATTAGAGTCTTGAACAAAGAGCTGCTGGAGAAAAGAATTGAAAAGAGTTCAGTGCAGCCCTTTTGTATGTGTTTTGGGCAAGTCTTTCTTTAGTCATGAATAATGATGAAGACTACATGATTGTACTGTACTCAAGTGTCCACTCTACTGAAGTGTCCTTGAGCAAGACATGCAAATTATAAAAAGCAGTTTTTTCTGACCTCCCTGTGTTTCAGCAGAAAAGGGAACATTTAAAAAGCCACATCTTTTTTTGAAGCTTTGGATCAAAGCTGTGACTTTGAGCAGTGCTCCTAAAGCTCCGGATGAGGGGTCAGTGTTATCTTCGGCAGGCGTATGCGTTAATGTTTTTGATGACATAAAAGCCAATGGTCATGGGAGGCATGGCTATTGTCCGTCCAGCCCTCAATGTCTTAGGCTTTAACTCGGGAAATGTCTCATTGTCCACCATGAGCAGCTTCTCCCCGTTCAGCTGGACATATCTGTAGGATTAAAGAGGAACAATTCAAAACATATGTAGGTAAATGTGACAGAAAGATAAGACGGGTTTTCACCTCCCTAATAAAGTGGAGCAAAATGTAGCATCTCTCTAAAATGCTTTTGATTCTGTCTGTGTCCACGTGGGGGAGCTGTTGTAAAAAAAAATTGCAATTTCACACCGACACACTAGAACTGACTGTTTAAATCTGCCAGTGGAATTACAAACAGTTGGAGCACTGAAACAATCCTCTTAAAAGAAATGAAAGAACAGAAAATACTCAACAATCACTTTTTGTATTTGCAGTATGTTTATAGAGGTACACAAACTATAACAGTACAAATAAAGATTATACAATCAGTGGCGGAGCCAGGACATTTTCAGTGGGGTGGCCAGGATGGAACCAGTGATCATTTTGGGGTGGCATTGAAATGACTATTATATGAACATAAAAATACATCTCACTAGAAAGTAAGGGGTTATTTAAGGCACATACAACACACCTCTACATTATTTGGGATTAAGCTAGTGGTGGAATAGATCAAATAATATTCAGTATATCTAACTATTTTTTTGTATTCCCACAGGCAAAGTATCAACAAAGCTTACATTATACAAATGTAATGCAATATACAGACTGTTTAGCTTATGGTGATCAGCAGCCCTATGAGCTCATTCTCTCAGTGTATCATCAGGAATACAGAGACACACACACATCATTTAAATAAGAGCTTTTAAATTAAATGATTGGTTAAGAATAAACATCTTAAAGTAAATAACAATAAACAATAGCCCTTAACCCTGTAAGGCCCCCGGTTGTAATTTTACAACATTACTTTAAGCTATCCTAAAAAAGTCAGTAAATGTTTTGGTTTTTTAAAAGACTAAATTTACATAGTCAAAAGGTCCTTTTGTTCAGCCTCACAATGCTATTGGGTAGTAAATGTGTTATAGGTCCTGCCCTCTGGCCATACATGCCAGGGATTTTGGGCCCCATGGAAAGATATCACATTGGGCCCCACCACCAGGCCCAGGCCACGCCAACCAAACACAATTGCTGTAACCACACCTCCAGAATCCAACCCACTCATTTATGCTTTAAAATAACTCTACCTGTACAGGCTTGCATCTATCTTGTAGTCCAATACTAACCGCACAATATTTACTGACACTGTGAAAATATAACACTTATGGGGGGACAGGGCTGCTGAGCCTAGAGATGGATATGTTGGTCCTGGCACCAGGGGGAGGGACAACTGATTTAGTATGAATAGTTGCTAAAAATTTACCTGCATTTACTAAATGTCAGCTAAAAGAGGAGTGAAATTAAAAAACCTGTATAGATATTAACAGTACCTAATGTCAGCTTAGTAAAAAAAAAACATAACAATTATTATTTACAATGGACTAAGCTTAGCTAACACACATTTCCACCACTCAGACCACACCCACCTTTTCGTTGAACTGGGTGACATACTGTCGCCCTTTAGTCCCTCTCTCTTGTCTTTCTGTCCTTTCTTTTCTTTTGAAAGCCTGACTTTGTGAGTCGTAGAGACATGGTTCACATGTAAGTACTAGCATCCCTGCTCCTCACATGCTCTCACTCTCTGCTAGAAAGTGCCGGCAGTGCTGCACCGGGTTTGGAGGCAGGACCAAACCATTACATGTAAATAGAAGGGGGTGTACAGAGGCTTTGGATAATTAACTTTTGGAAGAAAATAAGTTAAATGAATTGTAAGTTTAGTGAGTACATTATCAATATAACGTCCTATTAATGTTAATTCTTGATGAATGATGAAAGGTAACTTAAACATCCTTATTCGACCTGTTACCATAACAACATATTCAGAATACATATTGTTAATGAGATGCTTCAACACATCACAGTTATACTTAAGGGTGCAGTTTTTTGTAAAAAGCAATATAGGCTGAATATAAGCGTAATGTTATTAGAAAAATATTCTACAATATTTAATAAGACTTTTTGCACAACAGTCACCTTGAGTCAGACTTTCAGTATTTCATATGCCTTGTTTCTCTTTATATTTATAAGTATATTAAAGTCATTGTAAGAGTTCAATAATAAATCATGCTCCTAAGAAATAACCACCTTATATTGTATTTCTAGTATACATTATCACCTTTAACACATACCTTTCCAACCACACAGTGCCGTTGTTATTAGTAACCATGTTTTAAAAAAAAATATTAAACTATAAAGTTCACAATAACGTAGAGATTAAGGCCAATAGTCTGTAAATGTTTATGTGAACCTCAAAATTCAATAAAATATCATATTAAATTGTACTTTATAAGGAAAAGTTGCTCAAAGCCTTTCTGGAACACCCAATGGACCTAAATACTTGGCCAGAGTTGAAAAGTACCTCTGTACTCACTACTCAGAAATGTTTATAGACATCTGGTGTTGCTAAATTCTTCATAAAAGTTTCCCTGCGTCGCGTGTGGTTAAGGAAAGCAGTTAAGTCCTAAAAAAGGCCCATCGTTAGCTTTCTCTCCTATTAATTACCCTGCAATCCTGTTCTAACACCTAAAACATCCTCCATCCTTATGGTGTTATTCAAGGATCATGCCTAGCCACCATTAGGACCCAATACCGGTATCGTATAACACACACACACACACACACACACACACACACACACACACACACACACACACACACACACACACACACACACACACACACACACACACACACACACACACACACACACACACACACACACACACACACACACACACACACGCACGCACACACCTGAGACTGTTATTCCAGGACTTGAGGCTTAAGCCTGAGTCTCAGAATAACAGGTTTAAAGGAGAGAGGAAGAGCCTAAACCTTTTGGGAAATGTGACTTATATGACCTTGTTACATGAAGTGTAATATACCATAGTTATATACTTATAAGTTTAAATAGAAAAAAAATGAAAGGAAATAAAACCCCATACAAGATTCACCTGTCGCAGGCTGTGAAAACAAACTCCAACAAAGGGCCTTCACACAACACACCTATCATTGATCTAAATGTGTGTATATTTTGTAACTCCTTTGTCCGACTAACCTGTTAATACTATCATACTGGCAAAATAATAAGAAAAAAAGAAAAAAATGAAAGATAGAGTTGGTAAGTTTTAAGAAAGCAGTCTAACATTCCGCAGTCTATATTAATCGTTCATTGAAAAAGGAAAAGGGTTCAAACTTTATTCCTTTCTTTTTGTTTCATTCTTTGAGTCGCCTAAGCTATCTACCGTCGGGTTAGGCATGAAGAAGTAAATGCTTGTAGGTTTGTGGTGTGTCTTCACACAACATGCTGACCCAGTGTGAATTATAGCACTCAAGTCCAACACCCACTGGTTTCTTAAAATGCATTCACTGCAGCGTTTGAAGGGCCAGCTTAACACCCTATTAAGGGTGGAAAAAAATAAAACAATTAAAGAGCCATAAACTTGTTTAGAGAAGTTCTCATTATCCCTATTCCTCATTTAAATTCCTTTCACACGTTTGCAAAAATACGAGCTGTTTTGGTAACCTGGTTCTGTCCTCAGTGCATTTGTCTTGTTTGATTCTCCCAAATGAATTGCCCAGGATATTCTAAAGGAAAACCACTCTTTTTTCGGGAAAGAAAACAATAACCCGATGCCGCTGAGTGTGTATGTGCACATGTGTGTGAGAGGGGGGGTACTCACTTGGCTCTGAGTCCGTCAGTGCCGTAGGGTTGCAGCAGGTACTGATGGACAATGTTGTTCCGTAATGTCCCCGCCAACTTGATTTTCTTTCGCGACCGATGCAGGTTGATGATGTAGATCGTTATGGACCCTCTCACATAGTTATGGCTAGTGGCGCAAAGACAATGATGAAAATCTCATTACTTTTCCTTTACCTTAAGGAAAGACAATCAGGAAGATAAAAGGCTCCTCTCCACATCTGTTAATATGAATTTATTATAGATATTACGTTGCCATGTTGAATACAATTCTCCATAATTAAAGATGACTACAAAGAGAAGGAAGCCTTTGATATTTTTATCACACATAGAAAGAGGATCAAACCACAACTCCTTGATCTAAACTGGATCAAAAGGCTTGCAGCAAAATAATACAGAAAGATAAAGTATGCTTAAGAATGGAATTCCATTAAGCAGCAAGTTATCATCTATATTTAGTTTGAACCATAATAAACCACATTTCATTTTCAAAGCCTTTATGATTCCTATAAAGGCTATCTGATGCTAAAATCTGCTTCTCGTGTACAGTGTCCAATGTTTGAATCTGACGCTGTACAGACCAGGGTCAGATGAAGGGTGTGAATGCGACAGGCAACTCTTCTTGAGTTACACAGACAACAGAGTGTGAGTCCCGCTGCTGAGAGCAAAGCACTGGGGACTCAACTTGATAGGGAGAATGGCCAGAGGTAAATAACTAAGCGAGACATGATCAAATCTAATAAGGGCCCAGATATGAGGACAAAGACAACACAGCTTTAGTGAAAACCACATGTTCGCCTTGGTGTTTGGTAGACAATCCTCCCTGTTCCCTCCTCCATAATCTTATATCTGTAAAGAAATCTTGGTTTTTGGTTGGATGTTTATCTTGGTTCTTTTGGGATCAGGGTGAGACATTTATTTCATTAACTCAACAAGACTGACTATATTAAATATATTCACAGAGAGAAATAAAGTATTGAGGGGAATGCTGTGTGTCTGGCTCCATGCTAAACTCTTGCAGCCTTGTTTTTGAAAACTGTGGACCATGGCTCTGAATAATAGATCAGATGGTTAGATGGAGGCAGAGATAATGACCTCTCAGGCCTTTCAAATGATGAGGTTCTCAGCGATCCAAACCAGGAACATAAACATGTGTTGATGGCGTTTGATGTTGGAGCGTCGCTGGAAAGTGTAAAGAAATGGCATGCTAACCACTAAAAGGGGTAAAAGTGCAGTGAAAGTCACATATCTAATCTGCAAAGACTTTTTAAACCCAGGGACATCCACATTAACAATAGTTCTTGTCTTACACAAACCACTAAGACTACAATGGTTTGTCCTTTTTAGTGCTGACCGTGTTCCTCAAAGTTTCAGAAATAACCACAACTGAAACTTTGTGTCTTACTGACTGATCAAATTAATCCTTTGGTGCATTAGTGGAGCTAAGCCACTTCTCCTTCTCCCAAATTCACTATGCATACCAGGTGTCTACTTTGAGAAGTATTTCAAATATTTGCGTGTATGTCATCAGGCCTCATGTGTGTGTTGGTTATGCAACTCTTGCCCAGTTATCGGCCATCTTTAGGTGCAGCGTTCCACTATTTGTTCTAAGAGATGCAGCACCTGTAAACGCAGCCTGTCTAGAGTAAGGCCGTAAGTCTAGCCTGGTGCTGACAGCCGCTGGCCTGGGTTAAATGATAACCTTGAACAGACCATGATGGCACTCTTTATCTCCTCCAGGCACAGACCGCCTTATTGTCCCTCCCCCTCCAATACCCCCCTCCAGCCAATCCGAGATGGGATAAAGGCCTAGCACACCTTTCAGCGGCTCTTTGACGGCAGGGAGACAGAACCACACACCTGCTAAGTGATACCCGTTACATTTTATAGGCTCTGAGCTGTGAATGAGCGGGTGTCTGTGGTCTGCTTATTTATGGGAAGCCGAATGGCCCGGCCTGGGATTTTGTTCTTCCTCACCAGACACTGAGCCTTAGGTGATTGCATGAGGACACGAAGAAGAAAAAGTGAAAACCGCAGCAGTCTGTTTTCCATCTAAATCCTCAAGGACATTTAAGTATCGCTACACCTCACTGGAAGGCTGAGAGGATGTGTGCTTCGTCATCTGTCAGCTACAAAAGAGACCAAAATCACAGTTCATACTGATGCCGTGTTAAGGGAGTCACACTGTAGCACGTACTTGTAGTAGCTGGTACAGTGGGCGTAGATTTGCAGCTTGTCCCGTATGACTCGTCCTGGTTGTGGCTTCCGTTGCAGTCCAGCCACCCGCACGGCTAAAACCCTCGGACCAACCAGACGCTTGTAGACCAGAGAGAACCAGTAATCCTGTAAGAACAAAACCATTGCACACACACACAGACCCACACACACAAACACACACAGAGAGACACACAGACACCCATTTAGCGTTACTTTGAGGAAAGTAAGGGATGATCATGATCATGGTCCCAGTGTTATAAGAAAGTCTTGATCTGACGCTGGCATTGACACAATTTAAAAGCACTGCAAACCACACTGTAAGTAAATGCAAGGTTAAATCTAATATACAAAGTTTTATTAAAAGAGACCATTTGTCACAAAGAAGCCTTGTTGGATTCTGGATTCCCATGAAAGGAAATATTACTGAAATCTCCATTTTGATTGTCCAGCCATGAAATGTTCTGGTGATTACGGTTTAAGTTTCATACACTTTGAGATGTACAAATGTGCCCGCAAAGCAGCTGGTCTGTGACAGAGTGAAAGTAGAGATTTATTGAACATTTTGACAGCCGCCATTTAGTTGGAGCTGATTGGCACTTGTAACATGTAACATGTCACGTAGTATAAATGCAAGCGCTGACCGTTTTCACATTGACAGATCTTAAATATGACATTTTTACAAAATATTATGCTCCATCGTGAATTGCTGTTTTCTGTTATCATTGTCGAGTGGTCCACCATACTGTGTCTCAGTCTATAGACTACACAGACTCAACACCTCTCCAAGAGACCCAGAACAACATGTGTTCCTCAGGAAGTTCCCATGCAATCCTGCATATGGCAACATTTAAGGGCTTCTTTTTTCCATGCAGACTTTAACTTAATTTGCTGCCAAGGCATCGAAGAAGCAGAGCACAGCATGGAACTGTATAGTGTTGGCCACAGGCACAGGGATGGATGGGTGAATGTATGGCCAGAACTGTGATCTATGATTATTACATGAAGTATAAAACAAAGAACAGCTATGAGTCCGAAGCTTTATTTGAGCAAGATGGCCGGAGTGATGCTATACTCTTGCTTGGGGTTTACATTTCACAACTCAAGTAAGAGAAACCATCAATGAATTGGTATACTTTAAACTACGACTGCGTTTAAATCCCCAACCAGAACAGGAATTGTGCGGACATAACATTTCATTTTTAGAGGAAAATCTGATATGGTCCTAATCCTAAACGGCCTCTCTTTGTTTTCTGTTTCCCTGTCCAAGTGCTTGTCTTTCTCATCCTGTCTTTTTGCCCCCAAATATTCAGATAACAAGTGGAGGAACAAACATCCAGATAATATACAAACCAAGAAACGCAGTTAATAACAGGCAGGAACAAGTTACCTAGTATAAGGTCATGGACTGAGGAAACGTAAATCCATGCACCAGAGACCAATAACACCCAACCTGCCCAGAATATGCAGATTATATCAAGGAGAAAACACAATTAACCGTTAGTGTTTATTGTAATAGGCCAAATGAGAGTCAGACTATTTGGCTGAGACGCTGTTAATCCATGAGATCATTAAGTATGAGGTCATACTATAACATTGCATATAGCGGCAAGTTAAAACATTTGGGTGTTGTCAATTAAAAAACAATCTTCAGCAAGCTCTAATTGAGCTTTCCAAAATATACTAAAAGATGACAGCTGTAAAAAATGAGGAGAAAAACAAATCCAGGAAAAGGTAAAAGAGATGCAAGTATACCCACAATATGCTGCCTTTAAGGTTTGCTAGTTGGGGAGGTTCAACCTCATCTCCCTGATTTCTATGTGCTTTGCAACTGCCTTTAATCTCCTGAAATATTGTCTCTCTTCAAAGCATTTGAAGGGCAATGTTTTCTAACAGGAGCAATATGCCTTCACACTGCCAGACACTAAATACTGGCATTTCTGTTTCTCAAAGATGAATCTTACTTCACCTTAGTGTAGGAGTTTACAAACCAGGCGTGTGGACTGTAAACAAAACAAAGATTATTTGATAAAGATTGGGACAAAAGCGCAAGTAAAGAAAAGGCAGAACTGTGTTAAAAGGAAAGGTAGTTGATTCTTTGAGGGGGAAGGGGGGTTCAAATGGATTCTCCCATTGGAGGAGTCGTCCTATAGCAGAAGGGGCCAGGTCATAAATTTCAAGGACAGGTTGGCCCTGCAGTGAATTCTCTCAGCAGGTAGGCTGGGGCAACCTCTAGACATCCAGCCATGTTAAAAGCATTGTGATCCTAGCGGGACGCCGACATTCCTGGAAAAATAATGGAGAGGAAAAGAGAAGAAAGATGAAGCTAAACGATACAAATGAGGCGGCTTCGCCAGTTTATTTTCTTCTTTTCACCTTTCCTCCATCTTTCTCTGCGTCAAAAATATCGGGTAAAGAGGACAAAGGATTTAGTGAAACATTTTTACGATTTTGTAGAAATTGATTATTTCAGATGCGCGATAACATTAGTGGGTAAAATAGTACTCATTCAGGCAGCTACTTATAAGCAGAACAGGAATAAAGTCATCTTGAATGATAACAAATGTTTGATTCCGTCATATTCCACTTGATTGTATTAGCAATGATTTACGATACAGGCCCCTAATGCAACCCTCTCATCCTGCCCTGCCTCAGCTAAATATAATCCATTTCTTTAAAAATGTAATGTTTTTTTTTGTATGAACTTGGCTCATGGTAGACTTTTGTAACTCCAATTTGTTTTCCAGCTAAATTGAATCAGACTAAAGTCCCTACTTATCTTCTGTTTTACCTAGCAAGAAGCATCTCATGTTTAGCTTTTAGTACAAGAAAGGAACATTATAACCTTAAAATTAGGCCTACACATGCTTGTTGTTTAAATAAAAAATCTTCATGAACAACTTGTAAAAAGATCAATGTGTGTCAGATGATTAATACTGTTGTTGTATTCTGTACCTTGAGGAACTTGGGATTGGGCAGGTCCATTTTAAACACTGTTGCAGGCTTTTTCACTAACATGCCTGTGTATGAGCATCTCAGGTTGCAGATCTATCACCGGCCGACTGTCCCGCACAGAGAAGCGCACAGTTGTGATGGGGGTTGACGGGAGCAGTGACACTGTCCTGAGTTTCTGACAAAGGGCTAAGGTTACATGGCATTTCGCCCCCACGTCTAAGCACTCATCACCACTAAACGCCTTTCATCTCGCCTAATAGCTCCCACGGGAAAGAGCGAGAGGTGCTATCGAGGCACTGGGTCTGGCACAGAGAAGGTCCAGATAGTAACAGGACTACACAGGTCAGAACCTTGTTATCATGAGGAAAAAAGGGGAATTGAAGCCTTGAAAATAAGACGCAATAATCCTTGTTGGACTGAGAGACTCACAGGTAGAGGGTTAAAGTTCTGGTCCACAAGGTGTGTGTATCCGTAGTCAAAGAACGAGTGACGCAGGACAACATCAATCCCCTGCACAGCAGCCATTCCCAGCGCGTTCACCCACCTGGAAAACATATGAACACATACACAAAGAGAAAAATTAGGCCTGCAACAGCAGATGCCTCTCATTGTGATACAGCTAGCACAGAAAGCATTGGAAATAAATATGTTTTTTCCTATCAGTTTATGAGTATTAAAGTTATCATCATCCACAGAACACATTGCGGTGGATTTAGCGACAGTATGATAGCAGTACTCACAGAAAGCTAGCAGCGTATGTGTCGGAGAGATTGTTGATGCCTCCTGCCCACGCCGGCCCGAGCCCACCCAGCCATACCTTCTTACCAGGAGAGTGTGTGTTCACAACCTGCATGGAGAGGGACAGAAACACAGGTGTATCAGCAACGTCAACCATGGAATCAAGTTTATGATATCTAAAAAAAGTCATTTGAATCAATACATATTTTTTTACCAGTTAAACTGTCACTGTACTAACATATGCTTCTCCTATAATGACTGCATTTTCAAGACTCTAATGCAGGGGTGGGGGCCACACCAAATGGTCTCGGGGGCCGTATACGGCCCCCGAGACCATTTGGTGTGGCCTTCGAGGTAATTTATAAACACACGCAAAAAAGAAAAAAATTAAAGAAATCTAGACCGCAAAATAATTAAACAAGTGAGTGCCTATTTTTCCTGGCCAAGGTCAGGGTCCTTGAACACAACACAAGCCTAACGTGTCATCACGTGGTATATGTCTCGTCTGACAGGGGTGTAGTTCTGACCTGATGGGGAGCACCAGAACGCAGCTCCGCTCCGGCACTTCCAAAAATTGCAGTACCCATAAGGAGCCGTACACATGCTGCAGCTTTTGCGTGGCTGTGTCTTAGTTGTAAGCCCAGTGGCGATCTGTCATACTGATCATACAGTCAATAACGTTGTTGTTATTAGCATCTGGTTATAGCTATGCTAACGAATATAAGAAGCTTTTTCTACAACCAGTGAGGTAAAGACACATCTTTATATGATCATTATAGTTATAAAAAAATAAGAGAATAAAGTAAACAGGTATAAAATACTATATGACAGTAAAAAAAAGTTATTATTAATAAACAAGAATACAGTTTGAAAGGGGAGTGATTTGTAAAATATCCATAAAGAAAAAGAAAATCTGCTTACAGTTCTGTTTCATCTGGGTGTTGAGAGATGTATCCATAGATCTACTAATGTTGCTCTCAAAGTGCACCAGATTGATGCTTTTAACTTCAACATTTAAAAAAAAATCTTCCCCTAGAGGAGGTTAGGTCCCCCCCACTTAAATCATGTTCACATGGATAGGAGTCTAAATACATTTGCACACATCTTGTGTCCATATCTTTCTGTTTGGGTGGTCATGCCACAACTCTGCACGTGCATGCATGCGCGAGTCATGGCAAGATATCTGGATTAAGAGGTTGCTTTTTCTTTGCACAGCATGAAAGAAAGGTGAAATGAGTGGGCTGTGATTTTAGTATTTTTAAGCAGAGGTCAATAATTTGTACGGCCCTCGGAGGATGTTGAAAACATTGAAATGGCCCTTGAGAGGAAAAAGGTTCCCCACCCCTGCTCTAATGTAAAGTCATTTCAAGTAGTAGTTAACAAACTCTACATGTGCAAAGAGATTGAACCTTATAATTGCACACAGAATACAAATAAAGCTACACAAAAAGCTGAACTCACTGACTTTGGCTGAGTGGTACTGCAAAAAGAATCTCACTTTTGATACATTTCATTGAATGTTGTAACTTTTTTTCTTGGCAATGATTGCTTATTTTTCCCTGAGGCACTTTGGCACTGTCCATCTCTTACAACTCAGCAAGTCTGCCATATCAGCCAGTGTTGATAATATTACCTCACGGTGGAGACAACCATCTTACCCCGAGGGCTCGTCTTGTGGTGAGCACATGTGGCTGTATCATTACAAAAGCTAGCTGAGGACTGATGCAGCACCTTGCAAACTCAAAAATGCTAATATAACTTGTGATTGAAATGAGTTGTTTCTTCCTATCCAGCCTGGAGGTGTTGTGAACGACCTGTGATATGACATCTGAAATATACACCAGACAAATACATGTTGTATCTACAGTACAGCTCTAGAACTGACATATGATATTCACCGAGGAGCAAGCAATCAAAATAGTTGATGTAAATATTTTCACCGTAGAAGTTCAATTTCAAGACTTTAAGTCAAACTCAAGTACCTTGGTGACTTTATTTATCTGCTCTGTCAGTGTGTCCAACAGACGGGTCTTTAGGAAGTCCTCCACTTTGTTCACTCTGCCGTCCATATAATAACTGTAATGGAAATGCAAAGAAAATGCTGTGAGAGAAACACTCTGTACACGCTTTACAATAAGCAACAATCATTATCGTCACATTTTTACAGCACTGAATGGTTAGAAAAGTGAAATGTACAAGCCGTATGTTGATTTTCCATCAAAACACACACCAAATATGAGTGTGTGTAACTTAAGTTCAATTGATTGATAAGAACTATATATTGTGTTCCTTCTACATATTGGACCATATTTCAAAAGACTTTTGTTCCATGCACCAAACACAATGGACCAGGGTGTCTTCCTATTGGTAAGACACCCTCTATATTTCATAATAACATATCACACAAACAGGCGGGTCAATGGTAAGTTAAACTGTACAACAACAATAAAGAAGCTTCACAAATGCTATACTAACGTAGCTGCGGTTCCTTCTTGGGTTGCATCAAAGAGCAATTGGAAGCACTGAGATTTCAAACTGACCAATGCAGACATCCATGTGTTTTAGAGATAAAGACACAAAGAGAGGTGATAATGAGAGATGATGTTAAGAGAGCGCGATGAAAGAAGAATGTTATGGATGTTAGAGCCAAAGTCCGGAGGAACATCACCCAGACAGAAAGCCTCTCCAAGATCCCTGCAAGAGTCCAAGAGAGGAAAACCAGAGAGCAACAACCACACACTCCTGTTTCAGGTCACATGATACACATAATACACATAATACACATGCACAGTGTATCTGCACTGCTGAAGACAACATGAGTGTTGAATTGATGATAGTTAAAGATATATCTCCTAACAGTATCCCAGATTCTCAAACTTCCAGTGACGAATGTGAAAAAATCAACAATTTAATATATATATTTAAACATCTTTTTTTATCTTCTTTCAGTAGTCTGGTTAAGTCATTTTGCTGAACTAATCTACATTAGTCAGGAATATTACCACTTGAATAAATATTTATAATTCAATGTTGTAGTCGACAGCAGAAGGATTTGAATGCTTACTTATGGATATGATGAAAAAAACGTTTTAAAAGTTTAATAACCCAGTAATGTCATATAAATGCATTCATCCGCTACATAAGCAATGGAAAAAGTGACACGTATGAGAATTAAATGACTCATGTGGAATCATTATTTTTTACAGCACCATGACAAAAGAAAATAACGAAAACTGATACAACACGTGTTTATTAGATATGTAAGAACAAATCTGTGAGTCATTGCAGAGCAGATTTCTATTCTGAAAACAACAAATATTATTAATCAAATACCACATCAGCTCAGTAAAAGTTTTATTCCAATTTAGAATTACTACAAAACACTTGTAAATTGGTATGAGGGATTCAAGTTCCATGCTAGTAATCAAAGTCTCAAACACAATTAAAGGGTGAAAAGGCAAGGGAGGTTTGCACTCTGTCCAGAATATTAAGGCCAATAGACAAATAGACCATATCATCATAACAGCAGCATCAATAGTCTGATGTGTCAATAGAATCGCTTAGAAAACAGCTGAATTATATGCATGTGGGGTGTAGCAGTGTTGCAATCTGAGCTTAACCTCATTGAAAATGTTGTCCCCGTGTTGGAAAAGTCCCAAACTCCTGGCCTCAAACTGTAAACAACTCGTGGATTAAGTCATAGCTTTACACAAATTATTTGGTTATCCTGTCATCTTTCCAGAGAGCTCACAATAACTCTTCAGACCAGAACCCAGAGAAAGAAATTCCAGTTCATATATGGAAACAGAATCAAAAACTGTTATTTGATAGCTGTATCGTGCAATGTAAATAAAGCTATTATGGTCAGAGTCTAAAAGAGAGCAAGGCAAAAGGGCAACATTTGCTTTCTTTGCTTAAGTTTGTTGGTTCATTAGAAAACTCATCAAGGAATGAATATAAGGAAACAGTTTAAGTATGTTGACCAGAATTGAGGGGATTTCAGCTCGGTATTCTTAGGGTTGCCCAGGTCTAAGCTCCCAAAACAGAACTAATAACTTTTTCCCTTGTTCATCCAATATTTGGCATGACTCAGCTACCGGACTAAAATGCAGAAAAGAACAACACGGGGTCTGAATGTTTTCATACAAAGATCCACTAGGTTCTAGCTCTCACTGTGCCAGGACTGCACTAAAGACAGCTCACTAATAAAACAATCAGCACTCTATTTCAAATGATAGCAGAGACTACAGAAGAAGTGGATGTGATCAAATGCCAGACAAAGAATATCAATACCAAACAAGCAAAAATTCATACATGTTAAATTCTTTTTTGAGAAATGTAGAGTTAAATGAAGTCTGAGAAATACTAAAAATGAATAGTTCCTTTCACATGAATGTTTTGTTAGATAATAATCACAGAGGACTTGTTTTAAATTGTCTGATAGTAGCAGTCTCAGGACTTCTCCAAGTCAAATGCCTTGTGTGTTAGACATGTATCTGTTTTATTATGCTGCACATTTTAATGTCAAAAAGTCTTTTCGTGATGAGTTATGTTTCCATCTTCTGCATGGATTCCTTTCCTCATCCTTTTAACCTCTATTCTGTAAAAAAGTAAGAAGATGTGTTTCTTGATGTGGACCAGCAGGTTGAACCCAGCTGAGCGATGTGTAGTTTCCCTCAGGAATGCCATCAGTGATTTTACAGTGCCTCTGTGAGTCTCACATGAGAAAGGATGGGATCACAAACCTTTCACATGTATTTGTTCTAGCCTCAGCTGTCAATGCACGCACAGCCTGCTCTCTGACATGCAGCACTGCTGTCATGCTGACAATGAACGAGAAAGATGTGAGTATCGATGTAACCTTGGCTTTAAAATGTGGCTGTGTAGCTGCAAAGCATGTTTCGTTCTTTACATACACATACAATGTTTTATCAAGACAACATTTGCAAGGGAATTTGAAGGAGAATTTGCTTAAAACCCACCAGGTTCTTGAAAAAGGGCATTCTCTAGGCAACATATTGGCCTACAGATAGTAATAACAGTAATGTTATATAAACAATTTGCACTTATCTATCAATCATTTTACACAAAATAAACAATTTAGCAAAAAAGTTTACGACCATCAAACCAATAGCTGTCAAGACGTTTCATTGAAAACCACAACATGGAACCACCAGAGGAAAAGTCACCAAATATTCATCTTCTGTGGACAATAAATCTATATCAATCTAATATGTGTTGAGGTGTGTTAGCGTGGACCAATGACGAGTCCTCAATGCATCTTGAGTGCATTAACACCTGGACTTAGAGATGTACACTCTTTTAAATATCAGCTCTGAGCAGGGCCACGGAGCACAGCGAGGTCTATCCAGAGTATGTGGTGTGAGCACCACAAATTAAATTATATTGACAACAATTGTATTGGCCTGAAGGCAGAAATCTCAGACCTCTATATTTCAAATACTGAGTAAACAAACTCAAAACAGTCTGCATGGTTACACACCACCAGAGGTATGTGACAAATGTTTTTTCTCATCATTTGGGTGAATTTGACTTTAAATATCAACAGGAAAAACTGATAGAAATGTGTACATCCAGACAACCAGGCAAACATCTTGAGAAACAATGGGCACACTATCTAAAGTCTGAAATAACATTAAACAGCAGAAAGATGGGAAAGGGGGGGAAGAGAGACAGAAAGAGAAAGATCATGTTTTGTTTGTGATTCCAAAAATGCATAAGCAGCAGTAACTGAGACAAGATGCTCCAAATGTCAAACTTAAATCTTGTGGAAAAAACGTAATACCATAATATCAATGTTTTCTGCAACAGAATACCTCAGACTGTAAGCCATGGACAGCCTGTCTTGAAAATCCACATGATTCTCTAAAGTGTATAATGAACGCTGCGTTTCCAACCTGCTACGCTTGATACACACACAACTAGCCAGCTGCAAAGGAGTAAACACCGTGTTGTAGACGTGTTAATGAGTGGTCCCTACTTTTATACGTTTGGCTTTTTTTGTAGAGGTCAGAGTTGCCGTCAGGAAGGCTGGTTAAACAGGAATCTGGATCTCTGAGTAAAACGGGCTAATTGACAGAGGGAATGAGCCAGAGCATATGGTTTGATTTTAACAGTGTGGGTGGTGTTTTTCTAAGCCTTACTGACAGCCCTGCCTCCTTCCGTTTCTTCTAACTTCTCTTAATTAGACCTGACCTTCACCTTAATGACCATTCACTCAGTCGCACAGGGTGTGTCTGAGCGTACAGAGGGTGTGTCTTTTTAATCTAACACGTGTTTAAAGACATACTGATAAAACATGGGACAAAAGAGCTAACCATTGATACTAAGCATTCCTACAGGATGTGCAATAGACAAATTGCAGGTGTTACTAATTTAACACATTCTCTCTCTCTCTCTCTCTCTCTCTCTCTCTCTCTCTCTCTCTCTCTCTAAAGTTCTCAGTCTCTCTCAGTAACACGCCTTGAATTGCTTGTTGCTGCCTACTACTGTGCAATTGAGTGATAATAATACAAATCATGGTTATATTTAAGGTTTTTTAAGTACAGTAGGAAGTCTACGGTATGAGAAGAATGCACATGGATTCGGGGGTAAACTATGGACAAAATAATAAAATAGAAAAAAAGGGTAAAATACCTACTGTTGCCACGTAACTGCATCTACAACAGAGCCGGCATTCTTCATGAACCTGAAAGTCAGAAAAACAGAGTTATCGTCACATGAGTGGACCTCTTTTTAAAAACTGGGTGTTATCAAACTCATTTTCACAGTTATTTTAACATTAAACCTACAACGTATCTGCTAACACATGGGAATATAAGAGAGGAAGGCAGGGTGCAATATCCTTGTTTTAACACAACAGATTTGAAAACCAGGATGTGAAAAAGATACTACTTTTATGTGGAGTAAGTCAAACTGTTTTCAAAGAGCAAAATAACTTTACTCTACTCTTGGTTGATATGTACGTCTAATGGAATATGTCATAGTGTTGGTTAGATTAAGTGAAGACAATTCAATATTCTATAGGGGAAGTAAGAGCTTAATTAAGACGGTCAACCTACAGACATAGAAAGATTTCCATTTGAAGCCCAGTATACACCACATTTTGTTCAAGCCAAGAAATACACCGTGTTTCCTTGAGCTTTTTCCGCAGCCTGTTCAGTTTGCTTTAATTATGTTAAATACAAACTCCTGCACACAAACAACAACTCAACACATACACACTGGGTGTTTCTCAATATCGAGTACGCTTGCTTGGTAGCACATGTCTTCCGAGTCACTTGCTTCAGAAGCGAGGCAAGAATCCTTCCTGGCATTCGGAAAACGAAGAGTGGAACAGGCAAGTGTGCAGGTGTGCGTCATATGAGAGGCCCCGCCTTACATTTTCTGCCACAGATTTGGGGAAATTGGTCCGTGCGCAAAGCATTGTGGGGATTTTAAGACCGCGGAGTCTACACATGTGAAGCCTCGAAATTTCTCCAAACAAAGTACGCCGGGCTTGGTAGAATTCCAAGTATGCTGGATATTGGAACAGTACTTCGGCGGCACTCGATGACGTAGTATGCTTGAAATGGTGGCTCTGGAGCAGCTTTACTCGAGATTGAGAAACACCCAGTGACTCGTCCGCCTTCCTCCTCCTGGGATTCTGCATCTGTGTGTGTTTCCTTGTCTACCTGACCCAAATCTCTCCATATTTGGGGGTAACAGCTTGGCTTTAATGTGTCTCTCTAAACTTTCACTCCTCTGGCTTGTTTAGTCTGTCCAGCTCTGATATTTGGACTGTTGAGCAGCACAGTGTCTAATTCATCTTATTTCCTGAGAGCAGTAGAGTAGTTGGGATGTCAAACACAAGAGCCACCCCCTCGTAACCGTGTCAAACACACGAGGATCACTCTGTCGTTAAACGTGTCACCAGTGACCTGCAGATACTCCATCCATCTCCTCTTCATCCACTCTCTCCCTCTTAGCTTCTCAATGCATCTTTCTTTTCCAGTAGGTCCACTACTTATTAATCAGTACACACACACACATCATGTACACTCACACACATTGGTGCACACAAACACACACCTTTTATTCCTGAGTAAATTTGATCTGTCAGCACAGCGAGATAAACAGCGGCTCATAATGGTTCCTGTGATGTAAGTAGCTCGAGTACCTAGAGGGGGGAGACCCATATCAAATGATTCTCTCCCCCCTGTCTTCCAACTAGCTGTCAGAGTGTGTGAGGCTGCAGAGAGGAGCTGGAGACAGATCCAGGCTGAGATATACAGAGACATTAAACTGTTGTATGCTTCTGCACACAAACCTTTTTAGCCGACATTAGTTTAATTTCATGGACTGTACTTTGCTTCATGAGATGCTGTTTCTCGTTTTACTGTTTTCAACATTTCAGTTAAGGTCAGAGAGCACCTCTGTCATTTCAAATTGACTCATTACCTCTGGAGAGAAATACATATATGATGACAGAGAAGTATAAGCATTGATTATAGCTTTCTTTCAGCCAACGGGCATGACAAGTTAACGGTTGAGTGTCTCCAACGCTGACCTTTCCACTCAAAATCCATACAATATATATCAGTAGTTTATTTGTATTCATTCACCAACAAAAGATATCTCGATATCTCTAAGAAGAGCACATCTATAGTGCATTATGAGGGTATTCATCTTGAATTGATTCATTTGTGTATTATCCCACTGAACACCTGCATCAAGTATTCAAACTGTAACATTGACTTGGTAATGCCTTATAGAGTTGAACAGCACTATTAACACTTTATAAACCGTTTACCAGTTAGTTAGTGAGCAGGTAAAAGTGTGTTTTTTGTATCTTTATTTGTCAAACATGATGACAAATTCTCTACATGAGACATATTTTATATATAATTACAGTTGTACTTTACTTTGTCATTCATTATCTGTTTATGCACCAGCGGAGGAGGAGCTATAGGGGTTGGAAAATACATGAATAAAAGGTTAGATCTGCTCACGACTAGCATGTTATAAACCATCTATAAAATGTTTATATAGGAAGTGGTACCACTTGTTAAGATTAAATTCCGTATTCAAGTTTAATATTCTTGATAATACTGAGCCATTTTCCGTTTCAGGGTAACAGAAACATCTCTTTATAAGGTCCCGCTTTATTTGGAGCAGTGACAGAGCCGTGTGTATCCGTCCATGTTTTATTTTCAATCTGTTTGTTGTACAGGGCCACTGGAGCATCCATTTGAGTCAACTTTGTTTCTATTTCAACAGACCCAAAGCAGAGTGGCTTCACTTTTTGGGAAGTGATGAATACGTTTGAGAGCTGCGTCATCTATTTGGTCAACAGAACTGAGAGAGTTTTTCTGTCTTAAAGGTGTTTTAACAAACTAAGACAGGCAGAAACATCCAAAAGTAGCATACATATGTTCAGTGCCTGATTCATCAGAGGGGTCAGCTTGAGTTCATATGATCACACAAGAGCCAGAGCTTGTGTTGCATCGAGAAATGACATTTTGGGATATCAAAACTGGGCCGTCTGATTTAAAAATGTGCAATTTGTTATACAGTTCCATCATTATTTCCCTGTACTAAACTGTTTTCGGTCAATTGTATGACTTTGACATTAAAAGCTTAACTTTTTATTAAACTTAAAGCTTGCAAACTCTTATGATTTGATCTTATGATGATGATCTTATCTTGCAAATGTGTATTGAAAGATATGTGTTTTCATAAGTCCTTAAATGCAAAATTATGATCCTCCTCATAACTACTATACTATTTTAAAATAATATAAGTACAGTAGAATCCAGAAGTGAATCAGGAAAAGTATGTTTGCATTTGAAAAGGGCAAACAGTAAAGTATTACTGACCTGTAGGTAACAAGCAGAATACAAAGCTGCCTTTTTTGCAGTCCAAATAAAACTAGAAAGTATGAAATGACCATAGAGAGAGCTGTTGGAGATCTATTAGAGTCGGACCAAAGCTGGTGGAGCTTATGGGTTAAACCAGCAGGTGGGACGTTGTGCCGTCACGTTATCAATCAGATGACACTTTATTTAGGTTGACATGGTATAACTGGAGCTGAGACGCTGAAACCTGGAAATCCATAAACACAGAACACTTCTGCAATGCGTGTGCGTGTCTGCGTGTGTGTGTGTGTGTGTGTGTGTGTGTGTGTGTGTGTGTGTGTGTGTGTGTGTGTGTGCTTTAAACACAGTAAAGCTCAGTCAGAGTCAGAAACCCCTGCAGCATACATTCCACTACCTTAGCCCTTTGTTCCCCTGCAGGATAGCCTAACAAGGACATATATCATTCTCTATCAATGTGTTGCATGCTGACACTCACCCGTCCAGCAGCAGGATGGCGTTCTTCCGGGGTCGACCTGCGTTGGGGCCGTAGAGGTGAGCTCGGTGGTAGTAGCGCACAGACTGCAGCAGGGTCCGCAGCTTGGTGTGGTCCTGAGCCAACTGCGTGCTGTTGACCGCTCGACCCACCATGCTGCGGTACGCGTTAGGCTCTGGGAAGAAGAGATGCAGTACACTGAGCCAGAGATATATTTTACAAAAGCAACATTGAGGAGGTCAAGGTGAAAACATTTGTGTTGTAGTAGTCTGATCTTGCTTTCCTAGAGAGTACCAAACATCCAGTAGAACAAAGGGTAATTGGGCAATTTGCAGTGATAGAGACAGATGGACTGCATGTGAGATGGATGGTCCAAGCACACAGGGTGGCCTAGCAGAACCAGGAAAAGAAGATACGGAGGGAGATAGTTTCCCCAAATGGATACAAATACAATGTTACAGGCACTTTCCTTTTTAACAACAAGCGTATTGTTATTGTCTTGGCCAGGTTGGGCTTTAAAATATATCTTTCAATATGTCTGCTTTGTGTGTGAATGAAGCTGTGTCTGTGCTGTGTTCCGTGTATTTAATGAAAATATTATTGGCAAATTCAAGAGGATTAACTTTTCATTCCACCTCTCAAAACTACCTCTGTGTCTGCACTGTCTGCGTGATTTACTTTAACTGTGCTTTTGCTGGGGTCCAAGTCACACATGGTTCAGTCAACCGATTTTCAATGGTACTTATAGGCTTAGTCTAAAATAAAAGTTGCTATGGTGGGCTTAATTGCAGATGAAATTAAATTAATTCTGAAGTGATGTGCAGCAGGGGAACACCAGGCTTTGTGTGCAGCGCAGCTCCCCAGGAACACAGATGGTTAGGATGACATGAGAGCATGCAGTTCCTTTGATCCCTGAATTAACCCCTTGCTCTACTCTCACTTACAGCTTGCTCTCTACATTTGTTGTCATTCAAAGCTGGTATAACCAGTAAATGTTTAATAAACAAATGTGTAACTGCTTTCTCATAGCACAGGACTTTAAACAAGTACTTTTTTGGACTAATCTAACAGTAAAAGTGAAAGTCCTTCATGCTGTATTACACATAACAATGCAAGTCATACAGTGTTTCTGGGTTCAAAATAGAGTATATGTGTTTGTTCAGACGTCAGCTTATCATGTTATTTAGTATGCAGCATGTGGTGTGTATGTGTACTGACCGTTTCCAAGCTCCCAGGATATGTTGTACTTCTTTCCAGCGCCGTACTTTAGGAGGCTCAGGGTGGAGGAGGTGTTCCAGGAGTTGTCTGGGTTTCTGTGCAGCGCGTTGAGCCCCAGGATCAGGTGCAGACCAGCACAGTCGGCAAAGTTGTACAGTTTGTCTAAAGACCTGGCTGGGAGAAACCCACAAAGCAGTTGTAACTTTGATTCTTTTTATGCATCTGGTATTACATGGAGACCATGTGCAACTCATCGATGTGCTGTTGTACATATCTATGTGTTGTAGGAGCCCCCTACTTTTCTTCTAAAACCATGTCACGATCCTGTTTTATGGTGCTCTTTGTACCATAACCACCGATATTTGCAGCTTTAAAGAGAATATCAACATGTGATGAAATGTAGTTTGCATTATTGAGTACAAACTGCCCTCACAGTGTTTTTGAGTGGGTTTGTGATGCTATTTTACAAGCTACAGTAGTTGGTCTGTTATGAAGCACTTAAGAGATTTCAATTCTGAGAAACAGTAAACAATTTACAAATGAAAAAATACGTTTATTGGAAAAACATTGGGTTTGTCCATTTAAACAAACAAGTTCTTTCTCTTGTGACCCTTTTGAAAAAAAGAGTGACTTCTTCTGAATTCTTCAACCTCAGTAAATTGTAACATATACAATTAGTTAAAGAAGATTAGATTTCTCAGAAGTAATGTTCATGAAAGTATGTGTACTGTATTTTGGATAAATTACAAGACACCGCCGGCATTTATTTTACAAACATTTGTCGTGTGCCAGGTATTGAACTTTGTGTTTGCATCTGCATGTCATGCACATGACAGCAGAGTCTGGTCTTCAGCAACATTCAGTGAGAATCCAGAAAAAACGATTTTCCCATCATGGACTCCTGCGGCGAACTTAATGATCTTGTGCTCCTCAAACTGCGAGCACAGGATCATTCAGTTCCTCTGCAGCTGACCACTCACTCACGTTAATGTCTGCTGTCTCCATCACATCACGTTATTCTCACTGTGCAGTAAAGATAGGGAGCCCTACCACAGATGCTGGCATGTGGTGAAAGTGCCAAAAGAGTTTGTTTATATGTTATGTGCGACTGCAGGCTTGTCCTCGAACCTCAGGCTCTTGAATTGAAATGTTATCTGCTTGGAGTCCTTCCATTAATGTATAAATTACCTCTATGTCCGACCCTTACTTCCTAGGTTCAACAGGAAACAGATGAAGTGTGTGTGCAGGTCTGGTTCTGGCTAGAATTTGCCCTCAACGGTGTGTTCGGCACAAGCTGAGCTTGCCAACTGTTCGCTTTGTCCTAACTGGAAAGAAGAGAAAGGTGGAGCCGACCAGGGTGCATGTGAGGTCTTCTGGATACATATGGAGCTGTTACGACCATGTGAACCGTATAAGGTTCTCTAATATTTAATAACTGAATGTGAGAGATACAAACGTCTGGCTTTAAGACAGAGTCAAAATACATTGGAACATAAAACAATGCTTATTAAGTCACACCTTGTGCAAATGTATTTTTTTATATTCAGCATTTACTGTAAGCCTTTATACCAATAGAGTAGTGGTTATGTATAATCTACGGAGCAAACAGCGAGAACAGAAAGAATACATGTTGCACCTGGCATTCATTCGTTTTCCAGCAACGGCAGGCCAAAGGCTGAAAACAAAATGAAATGCTAGTAGTTACAATGGTTTTATTACACAAAGTGCTCTTTGGGAATAAACTGTCTGTTCTTCATCTCATTAATAAGCACCAATAAAGTTATTATCCTAACTGCTATTATTATAACTTCCTTTCTTTGTGGTTAAACCAGAGTGGTGTCTGTTTGCAGAAGCAACGTTGAGGGCAACAGGACAGAGAAAGTAGCGCCAGATGTGGCTGTCAGGGTGAGTGATTCCAGGCCTTTCCTCACCTGAGACCTGAGCAGAAGGCTAGCACAGCTAGCAGCCCGCACACATTCATAAAGGAATCATTTGACGCCGCAAGCTGCTAAAAATATTGTTTCTCTGCTGGCAGGTCTGAGAGCAACATGTACGCATAAATACATTAGGTGTTCAGTCCCTGGTGATCCTTCTTAAACAACAGCAGACAAATTCATAACGATCAAAGGTATACAAATCAAATATCAAACTGCAATGCTGGCCGTTAAATACATAATTTATCTGTTAATATCAAACAAATTAATGGATATAAAAACTGGGCTCATCATAGTAGATGGAGCTGAAATGAGCAGTTGATTGATCTATAGAAAACTAATAGGCAATTATTATAGTAAATAAAACCTTTTTAAAAAACAAAATAATATGAAACGTATCTTCAGGTTGCAACTTCTCCAATAACAGAATGTGCGGTTTCTCACTGTCATAATATATTTGTAAATTAAATATCTTTGGGTTGGGTATTTGAATATGTCACTTTAGGCTATCCCTATTATTCAGAGGGGCAGGTAAATACTTTAGCAAAGCTACAGCTAGACAAGAGCTTTTCTTATTCAGGGTAAAAAGGACAAACAACAGCACAATTCCCTGGGAACGGTCTATCCTTTTAAGGTTAATCCTCAGTTAGCCAGTTTCTGTTTCAGTTGCACACACCGACAACAGCTTGTAGCCTGAGGAGAAAGTATAGTATTACTAGCCAGCGTAGCCAAGCTCTCATTTATAGCCTGGAAAGAGAGGGTCATCATATGTTTTCTTCCAAAGAGAAAGGGATGCTGGGTAAATTCACCCTCCTGCTGTTAGGAAATCTGCAGATCACTAAGGCCAAACATGAAAGTGCTCCTATGCAGACACTCGCGAGCCCTGAAGCTACAAATCTGTAATCTCAATCAGATGAAAGTAATGACATTTCCAAGACACCGTGAATCTGTGTATGTATGCACACATACCATGTGTGTGTGTGTGTGTGTGTGTGTGTGTGTGTGTGTGTGTGTGTGTGTGTGTGTGTGTGTGTGTGTGTGTGGTGTGTGTTAGGGATGGGAACGATTAATCGAATATTCGAAATTATTCAGGTATTCGAATATGAGTTATGAATATTTTTATTAAAAAAAAAAAATTTAGAATTTTTTTTTTGGGAGTGAGGCCTAAGTTGATTACATATTATCAAATTGAATCATTCAATGTATATATACGACTGTGCCATAGCTAAATGTGTTAGGTGACGTCTAAAGGTGTGTTTTGCTCCGCTCACCGGTCCCTCACAGCGGGCAGAGCTGCAGGTGCTGATCTCTCTCTCGTGTCCGGTTATACTTCACTCGCGTTTATGTCCAAATCCATCAGATCTAGCTAGTTCTAGCTAATGATATGGCTGCTGCCCCTCCCTACACGCAGATCACGCAGACTCAAACCTCATTTTAGGCCCAAATGTGGCGCAAATGAGCTCCGCAGCCGTTGCGCAGTGTTGCCAACTCCATAGTAAGGAAAGTAGCTATTGGCTGTCCGAAAAGTCGCCAGAAGTCGCTAAATGACGTCATCGCCTAATTTGCATATCATGTAATGGCGGCTGTAGGAGAGAGCATGGTAGAGGCCTTTTTTTTCTTTCTTTTTTTATCTTTTTATTGGCTTTTTGACAGACATCACAATGGCAATACAGTAGGTACACATGTATAGAAGATGGTCTGTAGGAAAATTAAATAGTTACCTCACCCCTCCCTCCCACCCCCCACCCCTATGGGCTATGATCACATTATAAACAAGACATAAATCAAAAAGTTACAAAACATAAAACACCAGCATAAAAAAAAAGAGGGGTAGAAATTACATGAAATACAAAGACCAATAACTGAAAATTACATAAAAATACAGGTGCTTCTTCATGTTAATAGTCAGTAAAAATAAATACCAGGGAAATAACGGTACTGCAAGTTACATGAGGAAACAGAGAAGACAAAAAAAGTAATGGTATTAGGGAGATAAGGAAAGGGGGAAGTGAAGGTCTCTCCTCCCCCCCCACCGGGTTCACTCACACCTCATCAGCATCAGGGTTGATTGTAAGGTCATTGATTAGCAGTAGTAAGGGAGTCCAGGTCTTATGAAAGAGTGTCAGGGATCCTTGTAGTGAAAATCGTATCTTTTCGAGATTAATACACTGTAATAGTTCCTGTATCCACCTGTCATGTGTGGGTGGGGAGACGTGCTTCCACTTAAGAAGAATGGAACGCCTGGCCAGCAGGGTTGTGAAGGCGATGACCCGCTGAGTCGTGGTGGGCATGTTCTGTGTTGGGGGGACGCCGAACAAGGCAGTTAGAGGGTTACGGGATATGGGTGTGTTAAGGGCCTGCTCAAGGGTTTTGAAAATACTAGACCAGAAGGCATTCAGGCTGGGGCATGACCAAAACATATGTGTGTGATTGGCAGGAATGGTAGAGGCCTTTTGAGTATGTTTTTGGGTTTTAACATGCTTCTTGATGTCAGACCGTTTGGCATAGAAATCCCCCTTACAATAAAGGCAGTATGCCCGTGTGTCATCTCCAATAAATGGCTTCAACCATCCTTTATACTCAGGGTTTGATTCCCACTCCTTTCTGTATTTTTGAAAATACAATTTAGACTGTGCCATGATGTTTAGCTTGTCACAGAGAGGCACACACACAGTGGACGAGGTGATTGAGTGACTGAGGCTGTGTGAAGCAAAGCAAAGCAAAGGCAGTTATTTATTATAGTGTGAAAGTGAGTGAAGAAACATTTACATTTTACATTTAAATCCCGCTCAAAACCAGGACGGCTTGGCAGTTGGCGCATGCGCAATTCATTTGCAGTCTCGACGCGGGGGAGTGTGGTTGTCTCCTCTCTGCTCTGACTGCAGCAGCAGCTCTGCTGCGGCCAGGCAACTGTACTATGGGAGGGAGGCGGGGCTCACGGCAGCACCCGCGGCTCGTTAACTGCAGAACAATACGTGAGTCTCCAAACACCAGAAAAGTCCCTAATAACACCATTATAAATCGTTAGATTAGTCGTTAGTCGCTTAGTGACACAAATAAGTAGCCGGAGGGTTTGGAAAGCCGCCAAATTTAACGAGAAAATCGCCAAGTTGGCAACACTGCCGTTGCGAGGTTCCGGCGCTAACAGTTCATGAGCGTGCTCCCCCGCCCCCTGTCAACACTCGCGACACATGAGTGGCCAGCCTAAACAACAATAAGCGCTGCTTGGCAACCGTGTGT